GAGGGGGGTGAATCAGCCTGTTTGGTTTGAAGCAAAAAAGCAAACATATCTGGATGGTGCGGACTCTTTTAAAAGCAGGTAAACTGAGTATTGGAATAGTAGTAGCGTTTCTGCAGCCTGTGTCCTTTCCCAGTGCAGGTACCCTTAAAGGTAGGCTTTGGGGTTTGTGATCACTGGCTAATGGGGCCTGGCCTCCCCATTTCTCTCAGGAGGAGGCTCCCCAAACATTATGGAAACCTTAGAGAGAAGTTCAGGTTGGTTCTCAGGCTTCTCAGTTTGCCAGCAGCACGACTTTGTTTGGCTCTCACTTCCTATCTAAATATGTCTGCTAGTGAGTCAGTTCCCTGCGAGCTTTTATTCTAGAGACTGTCCTTGTTTCCCCTTTATCTTCAGCTGACAGTGAGTCTGCTGTCGAGTAGAAAGCCCTTAGTCTGGAGTGGGAGGTGCCCTCCAGATCCTGAGGGGCTGTCTTCTCTGAAGCCCGGATAATTTTGCTTATTGTGTGGCTGATTGCCAAGTGTAGGCAGGTTTCAGCTACATTGGGCTGTCATGGCAACCTGATCATCAAATGACATTGTAGCCACAGAGGCAAATGAGGTTCCAGAGCTGTAGGGGTGGGCGGGGCTAGAGCAGCCGGATGCTGGCAGGGCTCCTTTGCATATTAATATTTTGGCTTGGTCTGAGTCATTGCAGAGGAGGGGGAATACTTTATGGCCTAATGCTGCACTCCCTAAGGTAGTCTGCCTGCCCTGGCCTTACTCATGGTATTTTGGCACATTCAGGAAGCACCTGTTTTATTGGCATGAAGCAGAGTGGTAGAACAAGGAAAGCTGGTGGTGGCATTGGCCGATTTGGGGTGACAGGATGCTCTGGGAGGAACTACTGTACGGAGTTGATGAAATCTGATACCACTAAATTTGAAGGAACCTAGAGTTGCTGTCATTGTTCCTGAATGCTAATTGTTTCAGAGAAGAAACAAAAGTGGATCTGGGTCACAAAATTAGAATAAGAGAGCAGAAAAGACTGGTAGATGGCAGGAGGGGGAGAGACAGCTAGATATGGGATCTTAAAGAGCCTGAGCTGGGGTGAGACATCAGGAATGAGCATGAGCCCTTAGTCTTCCTCATTTGTATTTCTTATATGTGTTCAGAAGCAGTAACACGGATTCATTTGTTGTGTTTTAGCCAAGACTAAGCTTAAACTTGGTCGGGTTACACTGTTCCCACACACCTGCCACCTTCCAGTTTGAGGTGCTTCTTACAGTAGTTCTCAGTGTCAGCCTGACAAGAGTTCTTTGGAAACTAATTTCAGATCTTTTGGCAGTGTCAGGTTTGGTTTAGGTGCTGTTAAATGGCTGTTGTAACAAGACCTGGGGCCTGGTCAACCTCTCCTGACCTGTTTGCTCATCTCAGAGATTAAGGGGCGACTCCAGAGCCCCTTTGGGCCCTCTGTCTGTAATTCCAAGGATAAAGCATTTACTTTGGACACTAGGTGCCTGGAGATTGGCTTAAAGTTATAACCCCTTTTGAAAATTAACATTGGAATAGAATTAATGTTAACATTGTAAAGTAACACCTTGGCAAACATGCCAGACTTTTCAGAGAACATTTCCAGAGACCATTGGTCTGTAAAGCAATGAGCTTTGTTATAATCAGGGAAATTCTATTCTAGTTTTTCTTTAAAATAGTTGCTCTTATTTGCTGAATGTTTTAATTTTTTTTCTTACACATTGAATATAGGTTTCACTTTTATTTGGTATTGTTTTCTAATCTCTTCTCAGATTTGTCTTGTAAATACATCATAAAACTCAATGGTACAAAAAGAAAAAACTCAATGGTACAGTTACCAAAATTATGTGAAAAATACATTTAAAAAATTATATCTTCATTGATTTCAGAGGGAGGAAGGGAGAAAGATACAAACATCAATGATTAGAGAGTTGTCATTGATCGGCTGCCTCCTGCACGCCCCCAACTGGAGATCACACCTGCAACCCAGGCATGTGCTCTGACCGGGAATCGAGCTGCGATCTCCTGGATCCTAGGTCAACCACTGAGCCATGGCCTGCCGGGCAAAAAATACATTTTATTAGGAAATGAACATCTCCAGCTGACAATTTATTCAGTCAAAATATTTGCCATTTTGGAAGAACTGCAGTCATCATTGAAATGCGACATTTCAACAGATCTGAGTAATTTATTTTTGTTTCAGAAGCAAATGTGAATAAATTAACGAAGGAACATCAGCATTTTGAAATTCAGCCCTTTTGTTTATAAATGCGAACCTCCTTTAAAAATAAAAATACATTATTTTGTTGAGGTGGATGGAATTGGGGTCTTAAGGCCTGCCAGGCCTGATTCATTTATTCAGGAACTACTTACATCCAGCACCTTCCGTGATCAAGGCAAGGGCTCCTTCTACACCAGGAGGTACAAATGTTTGAAACAATAAACTCCAGCGTTCAAGCATCCCAACAATAGAGATAAAATAGCCCCAAAGCCGAACATTCTGGATTGGACAGTTTAAGAGACAGTTGAGTGTCAGACGATTTAAGTGGAAATCTACCTGGACAGTCCTGAGCTGCCTCTGAATAGCTTGTGGGATCCACCCTAGCAAAGCCCAAGACTCGTTTATATAGGCTCGTCATCAGATCTTTTAGAAGGGCAGAAATGTCATATAAGTTGATTAAAATCTGTTTTATGTTATACTCCGTAAGCTTCATCATCTTATTTTAAAATCCTTTTTTCACGTTCTTCGCAAAAAGCTTTTTAGCAAATTAAGAAATTCCTTTTACTTTTCTTGATCCCCAAATGATAGCCCCCCAGTCTTATCCCTCCTGGTAGTGCGATTTGGACTATATTAGGAAGTGGTACTTCGTAGCAGAAGCAAGCGAGACTGACTTTCATTTCATCTTTGTGACGGGCTCTTCCTCCGCAGCATGAATCTCTGACACTTTCTGTGGGGAAGGAATGAGGTGGCGGTTGCAGGCTGGCATGGAGAGGATCACCCTGAAATAAAGATCAAATCTTGACTTTCCAGGACCTGATATCTTCTCTCACCCTCAACTCAAAGGGACCTCCTAGAGCAGCGTTGCCCAGGGGAACTTTCTGTGATGGTGGGCATGCTCAGTGTGGACATGCTCAGTTGAGTCCATGTGGCTATGGAATACTTGATCTTTGGCCGTGCCACCAAGGAACTAAATTTTTCATTTTATTTCAACTAATTTAAAGTTTAACCGTTTCCATGTTGAGCAGCACAATTCTAGGCTAGAAAGCTACAGCTGTACTGACCTGTCAAGTGTTCTGAGTGAACATGGCTCTGAAGACTACCTCTGTGGGTCTTAGGTGAGGCCCTGGCTGACCCCAGATTGATGCTGCTGGGGAGTCCCTTAGTACAACGACCTTTAAGCCTACAGTGTCCTCTTCCTGTCCCCATCATGTCAGCGCCTCAGTGCTGTGGGATTCCCTGGAGAATCCTGCAGGGGAATGGGTGGGTTCTTGAGGTGCTCACCTAGTGGAGTGGCCTGGAAAAGGCACTGGACCTGGTCAGAACTGTGCCTAGGTGGCCGTGTAGCCAAGGCAGCCTGAATCGAGGGCTCAGCCAGCTGGGGCAGCTCCCCTGCGGATGAATGAACCCACGGTGTGGCCACTTCATGGATGACTGGGGACCTGGCCCTCAACCATCCCACCACCCCCCTTATACTCTCACAGCTAAAATGGGGCCTCGTCAGTAAGCATTGATTCAATCTCTACATCCACTTATTTTTCTGTTGGGAATGATTGCCTAAGGAGAGGAAGATCACCATATTGTGTGACGTGTTTGGGGACCTTGTGGAGAAACAGGCTAAAGGCTATTTGTTCATTTGGAGGGGTATGCGGCCTGGGGATGAGGTTTGTTTGGACTCTGTCTGTCTTGGAAGAGTTAACTTGGGGAGCGAGTGACGTCAGTCCTGATCTTTATACCTCCTCTTGTGCAATCCAGGGCTCTGTGCTGATTGGCTGTTGGCAGGACTTAGAGTGGGAGGGATTTTTTCAATTAAGTAAAAGGGCGGGGCTTGAGCAGCCTACGACAGCTGTGCCCCAGTATATCTTGCGCAAGTTTGCGGGCAGCATTCCCCATTCTCCACGCTGCCAGAACTGCTCCTGTGGCGGGTGGCCGCTGAGCCCCGGCTCTCCCTCTCAGCATGCTCTGCCTGTGCCTGTATGTACCGCTCATCGGGGAGGCTCAGACCGAGTTCCAGTACTTCGAGTCCAAGGGGCTTCCCTCTGAGCTGAAGTCCATCTTCAAACTCAGTGTCTTTATCCCCTCCCAGGAGTTCTCCACCTTCCGCCAGTGGAAGCAGGTGTGTATGGGGGTCATGCTAGGCCAGGGAAGGCAGCGGGCATTTCATCAGTGTTGGCTGAGTGAATGAACGAGTGCTGGTAGGGGGATACCCGTGAAATGGGCGAGTTTTTCCCACGGTTGTCATGTGGCAATAGCCTGTGAAAGGGCTACTTCATGGGAATGACTGGCTTTCCTGTGACTTGAATTATAGGGAAGGCACTTTTGGAAGAAATGGAAAGGAATTCTCTTGCTGAGGAATGGTAGGGGGGATCCTGAGAAGGGAGGAATAGTCCAGCTGCTGTGGGGCTATTTCTCTGAGCTGGAGGTGGAAGCAGTATCATAGGTCACTCATCCCAATAAGCCTGTGGTTCACCTTGGTGGCAGAGCAGCCAGATACCAAAGAGCTTCGTGCCTACCATTCACCCCCGCCCTGAACGGCATGTAGATTCTATTTCCGCTCTTACCATAAATCTGCAGTGACAACCCCATACGTAATTCTTGGCTGAGAGCACAGTGTCTGCAGGAAGTTAACATAACTTCAGATAGTAGATAAAATACCAGTATTGGTCTCACATTCCAGCCACACCCACTGCGTTGTTCTTGGGATTGTGTTAGGTGACATGGCATCTGCCCAGGCCTCCTCCTAGCACCCTTGGTGACAGAGCAATCACAAAGAGCCACCAGGTGGTTTAGAGAGTGGCTGATCGTAATCATTGGAGAACACCAGCTTGCCAGTAGTCTGTCAATTTCCAAACCCACTGGTCAGAAGACTTGGAAACCCATATTGGTTTGTGGATAGTGAGTGAATTCTCGCTGAGAGAATTGGTCAACACAGGAAGAAGACTATAACCATTTTCCTTAGGAGATTTTTGTTCCTAGTTGTGGGGTGTTGCTGGGTTGGAGTGACTCATGTATGTCCCCACCTTCTTAAGATTAACCTTTAGAATGGCAGCAGGATCTTTAGGGAGGCTGCTTTGGAGTCCAACAAGCCTGGCTTGAGGCCCACCTATCACTTCCCTAGCTGTGTGAGCTAGGATAAATGACTTAACCTCTCTGAGCTTCTGTTTCCTTCTCTGTAAAATGAGGGATATGATAGTGCCTACTTCCTAGAGCTGCTTGTGAGGATTCAGCGGGTTACTAGAGATAATGCATTTAGCAGGACCCATGGCTTAGGACCTCAGGGTCTCTTCAAGCCTCTCGGGTCACTAAGCTAAGTAGAGCTCCCCTACTGTACAGTGCCTGGCTGAGGGAGCTGAGGTTGGTTATGTCATCTGGCTCCCCTGAGGTCAGAGACTGGTGTGCCATCAAGCACATGCCCAGGAATAGTTCCCTGTAGCTCTTACTGCTTCTCCAGCCTCCTGAGTTCTCTTTGACTGTATTTCTGCCAAGCAGGCATTGGCAGGGGCCAGCTCTGCCCCATACCTTCACCCTGGCCACCGATTGTTCTGGGCCACTGCCACTTGTAGGGATTAAAAAAAGCAAGCTGCAGAGTTCCTGGTGGAATCTGGAACTCCAAGGCCATCCACATTTGGGCTGAGAGCATGTGGGCTGAGGCCTGGCGCCAGGGATAGCACTGCAGGGGAGCCAAGCAGCTGACCCTGGCGGTATGACAAGTTGGGCTTTAAAACACTTGGAATGAGAACTCACCAAGCCTGCCACTGCTGGCCTCTGCCTAAAGGGCCCCGGGGGTGGGAGGTGGGGGTAATACCTTTTTCTCTTTGCTTGTAAGAAAAGCAAGGTGGGTTCTTGGGTTCTGGCCAGTCCTTGGGGATCCAAGTGATGGCTTAGGGACTGTAGCAGGGGAAGCCTCTTGGGTCATTAGGGCCACCTCTGCTCACGGGTTAATGCAGTTGTTTCCTGGGGACAGGGCTCCACAAGGGACAAGCTGGTGCATGAGCTAAAGGACAAAACCTTACTTTTGTTTCATAGAAAATTGTACAAGCTGGTGATAAAGACCTTGATGGGCAACTAGACTTTGAAGAGTTCGTCCATTATCTCCAGGATCATGAGAAGAAACTGAGGCTGGTGTTCAAGAGTTTGGACAAAAAGAATGATGGTGAGTGAGCGTTGCCTCTCGAGCCAGTGGCCGGCCCTGTCTTGGGTTCCCCACCGCCCGGCTCACAGCTCACAGCCTCTATTGTTGCAGGACGCATCGACTCTCAGGAGATCATGCAGTCCCTGCGGGACCTGGGGGTCAAGATATCTGAACAGCAGGCAGAGAAAATTCTCAAGAGGTGAGTGCTTAGCCAGTCCCTGTGTTTGGCCTAACGAAACTCAGTGTGACGAAAGAAACGTCCCTGGACTAACTCTGGTGTCATCCACCGTACTGACCCTGTTCTCCGAACTTTGGCTTCTGGTGGTTTGAAGGGATGAATAAGTAACCCCTCCCCAGGTGCCAGGTCCCACCTGGAAGTGTGCCTGTCCACTAGTGACCCTCAGGGAGAAAGGACTAGGCGGGGGGCATCAAGTAGGTGAGAGGCTAGCAGGGGATGCCCTTCTCTGCCTCATCAGCCCTCCACTTAGGTGGGCTTAACACCATAATCAGGTGCTGCCCCGAAAGACAGGTCGAAGGTGGCGGTGTTCCTGGGGGATGGCGTGGCTGCTGCTGTGCAGGGAGGTCGCACAGAATGTCCCTAGGAGCAGCATCCTCCTGGTAGAGCCTCTCCAGGTCCCTTGGGCCCAAAGCCCGCTGGTCAGGACAGCAGCCTCCTGGGCTGCTTGGGCTCTGCGGGGCGTGTCCTGTGCTATGCTGTGCGTGCCTCACTGACATCTGCTCGGAGCACTTATTTGTACTGTCTCTCCTCTCTCCTGTGCATCCTCCTTTGTCTGTCTGTCAGAATACGAACGGGCCATTTCTGGGGCCCTGTAACCTAGTAAGTATCCGTGTCACCCTGGTGACTGCCTCCCTCCTTAACCTTTGTGCCTGATCGGAATGTGGTCCTTGTGTCATTATATCCCATTCTTGTGCAAAGTGAAGTGCGGAGCCACCTTGCCTTGTCTCCTGGGGCAGAGGCACCCTTGTGGTGTCCTCGGTGGCCATGTGCCTGCCTGTGGCTCACCTGGAGGAGGGAAGTGTGGCTGACAGATGGGGCCTGTTTACAGTGGGCACCTGTGTTTCTCTTGCAGCATGGATAAAAATGGCACGATGACCATCGACTGGAACGAGTGGAGAGACTACCACCTCCTGCATCCAGTGGAAAACATCCCCGAGATCATTCTGTACTGGAAGCATTCCACGGTGAGCCCTCTCTCCCAGAGCCCGAAGGCAGTTTCCCCCTTGTCTGTTCACAGGGTCTCCTTTGCCCAGCATCAGTCCCCATCCAAGGGGTGGGGAGCCCAGCTTACCTCCCGTACAGTAGCAAGACTGTCTACTCCTCTGCCAGCCCCACAAAGCCCTCCACATGCCCCCTCCATTTCCCAGACGCTCGCACACCTGAATGGCCTGACCATTCCCCAAACACAGGGTTCCTCTGCCAGCAGTGCCCTCCTGTCCCCACAGGCTGCCTGTTCTTCAAGGCCCACTTTAAACACCCCGTCAGAGCTGTCATTGAGAAATACAGATCTGCACCCTCACTGGTAGTGTCCACATTGACTCCCCTGCCCTTGAGCCTCCTTCATGGAGGATGTGTCCCTCTTTGCTGGTCCTTGCTGAGCACCCCCTCGATTTTAGTCTGACCCACCCTAGGCTGTCAACTCCAGGAAGGGAGGCCAAGGTGCTCCTCCTGGTCAGTCTCCTGCAGTGCCCAGACCAGTGCCTCACCCTCAGGGGACACCTGGCATCTTTGTTGGGTGAAATTATGTGGACTGCTGACCCTGGGTCTGGCTTGGAGCCACAGGTCATAGACGAGCTGACTCTGTCTGACCAGCCAGGATGCCACCCAGAAGAGAGGGTGATACGCAGGCATTGCACCCTCTCATATTTGCTAAGGCCTTACATAATGTTCTGCCAGTGTGATCTGGTTACACATCAAGTTTCAGGAGAATGTTCACCCTTGGCTTGATCGCTTCAGTACAGCCAGCCTGGTGATCCTCAGCTGAAATGCCTGTGTCAGCTGTTCTCGCAGGAGCTGCCTTGCAATAACTGAACCACTGTCTGCGGGGTTTTGGAACTGCTTTCTTCCAGCTGTGCTCTCACATTCCATTCCTGGGCCTCTCCAAGTCCACAGACAGGGACCAGAGCTTTGCCACCTTCACATGGAGGAGGGCTGGGCTGGTGCATCAGTTTCCCACCCAAAGTCCTTGGTGTTCTCACCACCTGGGTGGCCCCTTCTAGATGGTGGAAGGTGGTGGATCTAGCTGTCCACCAGCAGCTCTGCCACAAGTGTTAGGGCCTGCCTGTTTGATCTTTGTTGGTCTTCCTCGTAGATCTTTGATGTAGGTGAGAATCTGACGGTCCCCGATGAGTTCACAGTGGAGGAGAGGCAGACGGGGATGTGGTGGAGACACCTCGTGGCTGGAGGTGGGGCCGGGGCTGTATCCAGAACCTGCACAGCTCCCCTGGACAGACTCAAGGTGCTCATGCAGGTACGCAGGAAAACGGGCCCCAAACCTCCTGGCTTCCACCCTGGGGTTCTTCAGTGGGTTGGTCTCCCCTCCCTTGTCTGGGGCCTTGCTTTGGGCCCATATTTTTCTGTCCCAATAAATTAGATTGGAATTATTGCTCAGACAAGGACAACAGTAGATCCAGGCCTGGGTGACCTTTTGTACATAGCTGATTTAATTTTATTCAAGGCCCTTAAGCCAGGGGTCACATTCCAGGGCCATAATGTGAACAGGTAAAGCCATTGAGAATGGGAGTGTGGCAGGAACCTTTCTTTGGACACTTCTTGTGTAGGTGTCACATGGGGGAAGGTGTGAGCAGATGGTCACCTGGCCCAGACACCATTATCATTGCCAATGCCTGACTCCATGACCGTAGGAGAGATAAGCTAGACCAGCGTCAGGGGCAGGGTTTCAAGATCAATATGCATAAGCGTTCACTATTGGACTTTAGCATCTTAGGAACAGTGGCCATTTGCCCCTTGTCCCTTGTTTGTTCTGGCACTTTCCTGCTCAGAAGAGGCGTCACCCTTTCCCTTCCCCCTTTGCCCTCCTGGCCCGCCTTGGTTTGAAGCCTGTTGATCACGAATGTGACCCCTCCTTGTGGGAAACAGGGAAGTGGAGTGGGTCAGGGAGAAGAGCTCTAGGCCTCGAATCTGGCCCCAGCTCACCCTCAGAGCTGTGTGATCTTGGTCAAGTCACTTGACCCCCAGGACTTCATTCCTCTGAGCCAGAGGGGCTTTTAACACGTCGCCTTCCTTGTCAGTTTTGTTCTCTTCACCGAATTCCCGGGGATGCTGCAGCTACTGAAAGCATTTCTCTCGGGCGAAATGACACAGCCCTGCTGTGTACCTTAAAGTAACCCAGTGGGGGTGGGGCATGCAAGCACAGGGATTGGCTGTGGTTTCATGATTGTGGAAGCTGATCATGGGTTCATGGGAGCTCATTATATAAATCTCTGTACTGTTGTACATATTTGAAATTTTTCCATAATAAAAAGCTCAATTTTTTTTTTCTAAATCCTCACCCGAGGATATGTTTTTATTGCTTTTAGAGAGAGCAGAAGGGGGAGAGACAGAAGAGAAACATCAATGGGTTGCCTCCCCTGTACGCCCCAACCAGGGATCAAACCCACAACCTTTTGGTGTGCAGGACAATGCTCCAACCAACTGAGCCACCCAGCCAAGGCAGTTCAGTTTTTTTAATTTTAAAAAGTAGCCCTTGCAGAGGAGTTTAGCACAGTGTTGGCACACAGTAGGTGCATGGTGAGATCTAGCTGGACTTAGAGTGGTCCTGTTTGATTCTCACAGTGCTGAGTTAGTCTTCAGAATACGAGAGGGAAGAGCCTGCCCGTCGACCGTGATGGTTGGCCAGTGAGAAAAGGCTCTCTGTCGGATGATGGCATCTCTGGGGCCCCTGAGTTCTCTGACCCCTTGTTCTTCCCTCCTCAGGTCCACGCCTCCCGAAGCAACAACATGTGCATCGTGGGCGGGTTCACCCAGATGATTCGAGAGGGAGGAGCCAGGTCACTCTGGCGGGGCAACGGCATCAATGTCATCAAAATTGCCCCTGAGTCGGCCATCAAATTCATGGCCTATGAGCAGGTGAGGACCTGGCTCCCCAGGAAGAGTTGTCACTTGCAGCTTTCTGCTGTGCTGCTCCTGGGCTGAGGTCTCTGCTCTGCAGATGCCCTAGAACCTGGAGCCAGTCACTGTGCCTGAGGGAGAGCAGGGTGAGGTGGGACATGGGAGGCCTGGGTCTGACCCTGTCTCTGCTGCCATTTCCGCTATAGGCCAGCTCCTTCCATTTCTGGGAAGTGTCAAATGGGCCACGGACACCATGTCTCAGCTAAGCCTGACTGGCTCCGTGAGGAAGGGTGGGCCAGGGGATGGTGAACTGGTGTCGGGTGTATCAGTTTGTTTGCTCCCTGATGTAGATCAAGCGTCTTGTTGGGAGTGACCAGGAGACTCTAAGGATTCACGAGAGACTTGTGGCAGGGTCCTTGGCAGGGGCCATCGCTCAGAGCAGCATCTACCCGATGGAGGTGAGGGACCACCTTGGTCCTAGGGTGGGCAGTGTGTGTGGGGATGAGGCTGAGGGGTGAGCTGTGTTCATGCTTTGTTGCTTCTGTTGGGTTCTGCAGGTTCTGAAGACCCGGATGGCCCTGCGCAAGACAGGCCAGTACTCGGGCATGCTGGACTGTGCCAGGAAGATCCTGGCCAGAGAGGGCATGGCTGCCTTCTACAAAGGCTATGTTCCCAACATGCTGGGGATCATCCCCTATGCTGGGATAGACCTAGCTGTCTACGAGGTGAGGCCCTAAGGGCGCAGGCACCTTGAAACCCCCTTCTCACCAGGTCCCCACCTGCTGTCTCCATGCCTGATAACCACTGGGGATGGGTGGGACAGGAACGGCACCAAAGAGTGTCTCTTTCCTTCAGACTCATCCATTCATTGCAAGGGTCTCATGGCAGCCCCCACCTCTGCTCCCCCAGAGACTTGGCACCCAGATCTCCAGAGCACAATGCCCTGGGGGTTCACTGGGCCCCCAGCAGACTCCAAGTGACAAGTCAGTTTCTCTGTTGGGGAAGGGGTGCTGCCTCTGCCTCATCCCCATTTCCTGGTCTGCCCAGAATCCCCAGTGACAGCAGAAACAAAGGGCAGGCAGACCAGGAGCTCAGCCAGCCCAGGCCAAGTGAATCAAGTTACAGTGGCCTCACAGATCCCATGTGATGGGATCCAGTAATTTTTGCCTCCCCCACCCCCCAGCCTCTCCTTGCTTCACAAGCTCTCTCTCCTTGGAGCTTGCAGGCACTTTGTCTCATCCCTGCACCCTTTCCCCTTGCAGACACTCAAGAATGCCTGGCTACAGCGCTATGCAGTGAACAGCGCAGACCCTGGAGTGTTTGTGCTCCTGGCCTGTGGCACCATGTCCAGCACCTGTGGCCAGCTGGCCAGCTACCCACTGGCCCTGGTCAGGACCCGGATGCAGGCCCAAGGTAAGGCTGGTCCTAGGCCAGTCCCCAGGGGCCTTTGTCCCTGGGCAAATTGGGATCCAGGGAGAAGTTAGTGAAAGGCCTCTGATGGGCAACCTTTCTCTCTGCAGCCTCCATTGAGGGTGCTCCGGAGGTGACCATGAGCAGCCTCTTCAAACAGATCCTGCAGACTGAGGGAGCCTTTGGCCTGTACCGGGGGCTGGCCCCCAACTTCATGAAGGTGATCCCAGCCGTGAGCATCAGCTATGTGGTGTACGAGAACCTGAAGATCACCCTGGGCGTGCAGTCTCGGTGACGGGAGGGAGGACAGCCCCACCTAGCGGACTCGCTGATCCTGGGCCTGCAGCCCTGGGATGTGTAGCCATCTCATTCTGTGAATGTGCCAACACTAAGCTGACTTAAGCCAAGCTGTGAAAACCCTGGGGCGCACCCGCAGGGAGGGGTGGGGGGAGCTGGCAGAATCACTGGGTGTGTCCTGCTGACCATGGCTGACCCTCGTGTCCATTCCAGGGAAGACCCGTGGGTATCCCTCGGGTCCAGGGGTCAGCAGGACTCAGGCTTCTGCGCAGTAGAGACCGAGCGTTTCCTGTAGTGCCTGCCAGACAGCGGGGCTTGGAGGCCGGCTTAGTTCTTTCATCTCCTCTTCCCACCCAGACCATGTGCCATGGGCCCCTGCCCTCCGGCCTGCTGGGTGTCTGTCCCATGCCCACTTTGCTTCTTTCTCACTGCTGTTTTAACATGGTAGGAGGAGGGCTACCAGCCCACTTCCATGACCCGCTCACTCCTCTCCCCTGAGCCCATGGGGAAAGGTGCTTCCACCTGAGCTCACCACCCTGATTTCCCGACCTACAGCATCACCTCTGGCTAGGTTGTGCAGAGGAGAAAGAGGAATCTGGCTGTGTGCTCACCCTCCTCTGAGCCCACCAGCGGAGGGGCACCAATGCGCTTGTGCATGCAGGGGCAAGGCCCGGCCCCACCCTCGGCTGCCTGGCACCCGGGCGCATGGCTTCCCGGGAGGCGTGTGCCCTGTGCTGCTGGAGGTCTCCTGGTGCTCTGAGCTGGCTCCAGACTCTGCCTGGACTGGCACCAGCTCAGGACCAGCGCCCTGTCCCCGCTCTGGCATGAGGGCGGTGGGGCATGGTGGTGTAACGGGAAGGCCAGTTTCTGCCCCATGTCTGCGTGCCCTGAGAGAAGGGAAAGGGGTTAACAGCCTTAATTATGTATTTTTGAGAAAAGAGTTTTGTTCAGAAAGACAAGCTGGACAAATGTGCAAGTTCTGTGCTTCCAGAGGGAAGACAACCCGAGAAGGCGGCTTGGTTGACGCACTAAAGCCTGCTTCCGACGCCCTGGGGGTTTCCGTCCAGTCCTAGCTGGGGCAAAGTGGGACCAGCCTCACATTCCACTGACGCAGCGTGTACACTGCTTGGAGCCTATTTATTTCCTATTTATTTGAACAGATTTATGTCCTAACTATTTTTATAGATTTGTTTAATTAATAGCCTGTCATTTTCAAGTTCATTTTTTATTCATATTTATGTTTATGGTTGATTGTACCTTCCCAGTACCCGAGAGGTGGGGTGAGGAGAGAACGTAGGAGCAGCCTTCCTGTCACTGCCCACGCCGGCGCCACATCTTTCCAAAGAAAGGGGCAAGGAGGGGAGCCCCTGATCATAGAGGTGTCCTTTGGCAGGTTGGGGCAGGGTGTGCACCCAGGAAGCCTTAGGACCTGAGGGTTTGACTAGGGGTGGGACGAGTGGGAGAAACCTCAATTCCATTGAGGATGGAAGTCCGAATCCTTTTTTGGACCAGGATGCTTTATTTCACTCTTTCTGAGTGACAAGGCAGCGAGGTTCCTATCACTGTGAGTTTGGGGTGGAGCCAGAGGAGGGGGGGGCCAGCTCCCCACGCCACCTGTGAAGTGGGCTGCTTCCTTGCAGCCCCGCTCCTGCTGCCTCTCAGCAGCGCTGGTCAGCCTGCAGCCTCCAGTTGCACTTTTCATTCCACCAGAATGGCCCGGTGAGGACAATTTAAACAGGATGCAAAGATCAATGCAAAAATTATTGTTATATATATATATATATATACACACACACACACACAGTTCTAACTGGAATTGCAAAAAAGCAAATTAGGAAAGAATTGGGAGTTGTCGTTTAAAACAGCCTTCAAATAAAGTTTCAAAGCCGATGTTGGAGCCTGATTTTTCTGATCTGGGCTTGGGTGGTGGTGGGGTGTTCACATGTTAGAAAATGAACCCACTTTTTTCATCATAGAAAGCAAAGCCACCCTCTCAGGGTTTCTCGAAGAGGCTCCCTCTTTAGAATGTGTGTTTGTTGGATTTGGGGTGCTCTGACCAGACTACTGTGCCCTCTGATTGCTGAGTCTGGTGGTCCCCCCACAGCCCTCTGATTTGGTTCCTCTCTGGTAGAGCTGGTTGCTCCCTCCTGCTTGAAGCAGCTCCAGCCACCACCAGCTTCACCTCGCTGGCTGCCCCTCCCCAGCCTCCCAGTTGGTTCCTGCCCATCTTTCTGGCTTAGAGATGTTGGAGGGCCCCACCTGGCTCTGTTTGCTTTCTGCCTGTCACCCCAGGAGAGGATGAGGCCTTGGGGGCAGGGCTGTGTTTGCAACCCTAAGATAGTGCCCGGTGCACAAAGTACTCAATAATAACGTTTATTAAATAATGGTCCACACTCCCATCCCCTGGTAGCCCTGGCTGCCATGGGTCCCGGACCGTATGAAGCAGCTTGGGGAACCTGCTCAGAGGCTGTGAGGGGAGCACGGGAGTGTGCCCATGGGTGGACTGGCACATTGCACTTGTCTGAGGTGAATAGTGTGTGCCCCTCCCCCCCCCAACTTGTGTCCACTGGGAACCTCAGAATGTTGCTCTATTTGGAATAGGGTTTTTGCAGATGTAGTCCGGTTAAGATGAAGTCATACCAGATGAGGGTGGGCCCTAAATCCAATGGTTGGCATCATAGAAGAGGGAAATTTGGACACAGACACACAGGAGAGACATGGTGAACGCCCTGTGACGGCAGGTAGAGGTTGGGAGTGGTGCGTCTTCAAGGATCCCCTGCTGGCAGCCGCCTGAACAGAGGAGGGCAAGGAAGTTCCTCTCAGCCCCTCCGGGACACCCGGATTTCAGACCCCAGCCCCTGAGTGTGAGAGACTGGCTTGCTGCTGTTTCAGGCCCTCTAAGTTTGTGGTGAGTTGTCAGCCCTAGGAGACTAACATGCTGTTTGCCTCAGTTTGTTGTCAGGGTAATGGGCATAAATCATTTCCCAACCATCGGATCTTGGCGAATCGGTGCCCCACCCCTCCAACCTGCTATCCCATCCTGCCCAGTCCCCCCCGTGGGACAATGGCCTGGGTTCCTCCCAGGTCCTCGGGTCCCTGCAGCCTGGCCAGGGGCTTGCTTCTCAAGCACAGAAGTTAACCTCAGAGGTGCTCTGACGTGGCCGAAGCTCTGAGCCTCACCAAGCCAGCTGTCCTACAGTCTCCTTTGTCCCTTCATCCCTCCAGTCTCTCCACAAATGTCACCTTTTTACAAGCCTTCCCTGACCCCCCTGTTGAAAATGGGAACTTGCTGTCCTGGCCAGTACGGGTCGGCTGTTCGCGCGTTGTCCAGACACCGCGAGGAGAGGTCGCCAGGCCGATTCCCGGTCGGAGCGCGCAGGAGGCAGCCCACTGGTGTTTCTCTCCCTCCCCCTCTCCTTTCCTCTCTATAAATAAATAAATAATAAAATAAAAACATTTAAAATATGGTGACCTGTTTCCCCCGCCCAACCCAGCCCCACGTCGTTTTAGTTTCCTCCCTGGCACTGCCCACCACCACTCCACTGCCTGCTGCCGCTCTTGCTTTAGCGTGTTTCCTCCCCGAGGGCTGGATATTTGCTGGCTGGCTTCATCGCTGTGCCCAGTGAGTGCTGGGCACCCACTCGGTGCTTAATGGATAGTTGCTAGTTGACTGAAACCCATCCAGGCATTTCATGGTGTGATACGCAGCATTACGCCCCCTCCCAAGGATGTCCGCGTCCTGATCCCCCGAACCTGTGAGTTAGGTGACGTGGCCAAGGGGGTTAAGGCTGCAGGTGGAATTAAAGTTGCTAATCAGCTGCCCTTAAAACAGGGAGATGAGCCTGTATTACCTGAGTGGCCCCAAATAATCACAAGATCTTTCAGTGTGGGAGAGGGAGGCGGGAGAGAGCCAGAGAGGGGGTGCGAGGACTCTGCCCCAGGTCCCTGGCTTTGAGGACAGAGGAAGGGGCCACAAGATCAGGAACGTGGGCGCCTCTAGGAGCTGGAAAAGGCCAGGAACAGATTCAACCCTGGAGCCTCCAGAAGGAACGTGCTGTCCTGCTGACGCCTGGGTTTGAGCCCAGGTGAGCGACATTTCAGACCCTGACTTACAGATTTGCCTGGAAAGTCAAAGAAGGCTGAGTGGAAATGCCTGGTCCTTGATAAGCAGTTTCATCTCCCAGCTCCCCTCCCCGTCCAGGATTCCAAACGCACACAGTAATTCCACCTAAATGCTTTTCATTCCAGCCTCCCAGTGAGGAGGCTCATGCTGGCCTGGGATCTGACATCAGAGAGGAAATCCAACCAG